TAATGGTTTAAGCATCTAGCTTTGAGCTGTCACCAAGTTTGCTTTGTCTTAATAATCACATGGATGGTGAACATCTTCTAGAGTTAGGCAGAATCCCTTATTTTTATGTATTTTCATCAATATGATCTTTTCCAGCTCTGTTTTTCAGCCACTTGAAAATTTTCTTAGGAGATAAAATGGTTTTATCATCTAGTATTTGAACTTTAGTTGTTTTGTATTTTTGAAATTTAAGGAGCAAGAACAATTTTCTGAATTTTTGAATATATCTTCATCTTTCCTTTTTAGAGAGTTATCTTACATTCTTTTTTGCCACAACTACAAGTCTTATTTTACCTAGGTTCTAACTATATCTTGATTCTTTGTCATTCTTTGTAATAAAATTCTTTTTTGGCCTTTATCATAGGGAAGCACGGGTGGCGTGTGGAGCTTTCTCATAATTCCAAGGGTGGCGGTGGTGGTCGTGGTGGATATGGACGAGGTGGTGGGGACATGAATTGTTACGAATGTGGTGAACCTGGTCACTTTGCCCGAGAGTGTAGATTGCGGATTGGTCCAGGTGGCATGGGTAGTGGAAGGCGTCGAAGCCCTAGCCCACCTCGCTATCGGCGGAGCCCTAGCTATGGTCGTGGGTATGATTTTGCCTAATATTAATTAATTATTATCCTCTTTGCAACTTTTCCTTGGTTTAAGGGGGATGGATAAGGACTGTCTAGGGCACCCTAACTATCAGGCATAATTTTGTTTGGGTACAATCTATATATATATATATATATATATATATATTGCATACTACTAACTAAATATGTATTTATCACATAGCTAACTTTTATATCTTTTAGCTAACTTTTATATCTTTTAACTTCATTTTGAATAGTGATTTAAAAAGTGCTAGGCGTCAAAAGGTGCAAAGGTCCAAAAACGCATAAGGCGCTAGGCGCTCGGTCGAGTGAAGCGAGGTGCTAAAATATAAAAATATATAATATAATTAATAAATATAATTATTTAAATAAAAAAATATGGTATTAAATTAAAAAATCTTATAGAATCACAATATCATATTAACAAAAAATCTCAAAATTTAAAACAATAATAAGAATTTCAAATAAATAAAAATTAGTAGTATTAAAATCAAAATAATATATTATTAATCTAATAAATAAAAAAATATTATTACTAGTATATAGTTAACAGTATACTATTAATATACTATTAACAGTATATTATCGAGTCGTTGTGAGAAGAGGGAGTAAGAGTAACAGTAGAGGCAGCGAGAGCGGGAGCGATGATAGTGGTGAGCAGCGACAGCAGTAGCGAGGGCACAGTGTAAGAGTAAGTCTGAGGCTGCTGACTGAGAGAAGCAGTAGTGGTAGCAGCGAGTAGCGGCAGCAGGAGCGACGAGCGACGATAGTGGCAGCAATAGCAGCGGCGACGAGCAGTGACAGCAACGGCAAGCAACGACAACGAAGAGAGACAATGGCAGTAGAGAGGAAATGTCAGCGATAGAATCACAAGCAGGGTTAGGATTGGGGAAGTCGCGAGAGGGATGCTGGGAGGTTGATATCGGTGCTTTAGTTGGTTCGATTGAACCAACTAAAGCATCGGATACTGAACTAGATGTAAAACACTAGTTCGGTCGTTTGGTTTAATTCGGGCGCTCGCCCGAAGCGCCTGACGCCTAGTCTCGGGCGAATGCCCAGGCAGTGCCTCTATGAAGCGAGGCGCTGGGACATGAAGCGAGGTGCTCGGGCCTCGCCTCGCCTCGCCTCGCCTGAGCGCCTATTGAAATCACTGATTTTGAATCTTTATTGTGTTGAAAGAAGTCATGGACTATGTATGTGTATTTATGTATTAATTATATATATATATTGCATACTACTTAAAATATGTATTTACCACATAGCTAACTTTTATATCTTTTAACTTCATTTTGAATCTTTATTGTGTTGACAGAAGTCGCAGTCCACGAGGGAGAAGATCCCCTCTTCGTCGCAGCTATTCATCTCGTAGTCGATCACCTGCACCTCGCCGTCAAGATTCTCCTTACAGGAACAGGTAGAGCAACATTTTGGTTTCTAGTTAAAATTAGGCTATTGTCATAAGTTCTCTATGGACTTGTGTCATTGACCATCATTGATTTCAGGAGTCCCGACAGGGATCGACGCCATAGTTATTCACCTCGCCTTGGCAAGAACTGCAGCCGTTCACCAGCATATCGTCGTCAAGACTCTCCTTATGCCAATGGGTGGGCAACAGTTTGTAGTTATTTCATTGGATTTTTGTCACTTATCCTGTATGCACTACAATGCTATATTATGTAAGTTACAACAGTGTTGATCTCAAAGAGATATTGCAGGGATGGGCGGAGGAGCCGGAGCAGGAGTAGGAGCAGGAGCTAGAGTACACCATGTGTCTGATAAATCCAACAGAAATTATCTATTTCAATATGACCTTGACTGGTTAGACCGTAGATTCGATGTCCTACGATAATTAGTTGGCTTAAAGTGGTTAAATGTGGACTCTGGAGCTTTGGATTCTTCACCTTTTGGTTGGAGCACTCTCCTCAGCTTGCTGGCATTTGGAGAGGTTATTTTTCTAGTTCATTTTCATGTTTTTGTCTCTATTTTAAATCTTGAAAATCATACTTGGTTGTGGTAGTAGATCAATCAATGCTTTAATACAGTCAGATTAATGTTTTTTTATGGCCTTTAACATAGGCATGTCCCTTTTTTTCTTTGTTTGAGTTGTGATTCTAGAACAAGAACACTCATGGGATGTCTCTCCTCACTGCCTCAGGCTCTCTGCTTTCTCTTCACTGTCTGTATTTGTGCTAAGTGGCAAGAGCAGCACCCATGACATCTCTCTCACTGTCTGTTTCTGCTAAGTGGCACGGGCAGCACCCATGGGATCTCTTTCAGTGCCTCAGGTTTCTGCTTTTGTCTTCTCATGATCTATTTCTACTAAGTAGCACAGCATCTCCGTGGGATCTCCCTCACTTGGATTTTCTGCTTTTGTGCTTCTCACCATCAATCTCTCACCAAGATCAGAAACTTTGCTGTGGCACTGTTGGCCTGCCTAGTGCAATGACTCTTTTGTGATGCACCGGACACTAATGTCTTTCTATTAGCTTTGTTAACATGGAGCAATGGCTGGAGCCCCCACAAGTTTCAGGTGCTGCATTTTACCATGATAATAAACTGATGCTTATGTTTATAGTTTCTAGTGCTGAACTTATGGGAAGCATAATTTGTGTGCTCTGCTGCTTTTTGTGCATGGTTTTCACCTATGGTATAGATGCATTGGACTTTTCATAGATTTCTTTTATTTAATTCACTTGAAGATACAAACTCTTGTGGAGTTTTAGATTATTCTCCAAATCAATTATTGTTGTTTTCTGGCATTGCCAAATCCGGCTGTTGTGAATTGTTACCCTATTGTTTTTATTTGCATTACTGTTTTCATGACAATAACTGTACAATGGTTTCTTGTGGTTGTGTAATATAAATCTGATTGTTACATCAGAAGCGGGTAGTGTAATGACAATATTGTTCCTTTGTAGGAATGTCATCGCATGTTGCTTAATGTACTTCTTGCAATGTAACTAAGTGCATGTCCAAATGTACACTTTGCAACATAATATGTTAACAGGTTATTCATATAACAATTTAGATACTTTTGTGCTCGAAAATATCCATATGGGAGCGTCGTGTTTCAAGTTAGGTTTGCATGCATATGATGAGGCTGCAGGCTTTGCGTTGTCCATTGAAATGGTAGTCTTCATCGTCGCTAGAGATTGTATGTTAAAATTTTGAAGATGGTAAAGCATTTCAATGGTTTTAGGCCTCAGTGCAGTGTGTTTCACGCTGATACGAATCTCAGACATTTAATTAAGCACGCTGCCGATCAAAATAAAATATTCACATACAATATAAGAGTTACATGAGGACTAATTGGGACTATTTAAGCATTTCAATGAGAACAATAATGTGCAAAAGTATTTGATTAATTTAGGGTTCATCCAACATCGTTAATAATTCGAAAAATAACAGCTATTAAGAATAAGTAATTGTTCTGGGCACCTCTAGTAATATTTATGATGTGAAATTTAAGAAGATTATGACATTTTATCAACATCTGTTTAGAGCCCACCACAAGGTTGTTCCTGTCACCGCGAGTCAAAAATACAGAAGTCTAACTTGAGTTACTTGGGCTAAAATCACCTTCATTTCGGGAGGGGACTTTTTTATTGCACTAGAATTCGGTAAGCGTACCTGGACCATTCATTTGGAGTTCTGTCTTTCCCCTACAACACATAAGGTATTTGTTACCTCCCAAAATTGAGGGTTGTCCTCCCAAAATAGAAATTTTTTGACCACTTTCTCACCCTACTCCTGCTGGGTAAGTTTACGACGCGTGTTCGGACCCCTTCTTTCTCTCAGCTGCTGCCTCTCTCCGTCCTTTCTCGCTTCCGTTCTTTTTGCAACGGACGCAGACGGCCCCGTCGCCGGATCCATATCGCCGTTATCCTCGCCCCTTTGGCTGCCGCCGCCTCCTCCGCTCACATCTCGGTCTCTCTTTCTTCATCGTCGAACGGTGTTTGGCCTCTGTCGCCGTTAATTTGGTTTCATCTCTTTTATCCACGGGAGTCACTGAGAGTTATACTTTCTCAAATATATCCCTCCCTCGTTACGCGATTTGAACGATGGATGATTTGCTTTAATTGTCGCAACTATCTCTGATCATCATGTACGGAACCACAAAATTAGGTCACTAGTTTCACGACTGTTTCGCGTCGAGTATGGATCCGAGAGGCCTAATTATATACTCGAATTCGACCCAATGTGAGCTTAGTCGGGTCGAATCAAAAGATAACTGGACTCGACTTCGACGCAATGTGAGCTTAGTCGGGTCGAATCAAAAGATAACCGGACTCGAATTCCACCCAATTGTTATAAGTATGGGAGGAGACCATTTTGCGAGAGAGAGAGAGAGAGAGAGAGGCGATGGCGGGGTTGTTGGCGTGGGCGGCGGACGTGGTGGGAGGGGGCGGGCCGAGCGACGGCGGCGGCGAGGGGGAGGGGCGGCTTCCGGTGATGTTCACAGAGGAGCAGCAAAGGTACGCGGTGGAGCTCGACGGGAAGGCAGCAGCGCTGAGGCGGTCGATCCAGGATCTGCGGCTGAGAATCCCGCCTGCTCACATCTCGCAGCGTCTTCCTGACCTCCACGCCCACTCCCTCGCTTCCAACGCCGCCCTCGCCCTCCAATTGAACGCCCACTCCACAACCCGAGAACAGGTAGCCTCTCTTATTCTGCTCATCAAAGATTTATAGATCGATTGCTCACCTACGATCTATTATTCTTAGGGTATTTCCTAGAAAGGGATCGACTTTATATAGATCTTGGGGTATATGGAAGTATATGGAATCAGATCTTACGATAATATTACTGCTTCATCATTGTTTTGTGTCTTCGTTCTTATTTTGGCTTCTTGAGCTGCTGATTGTACTGCTTGTTGCTACAGTTGATGTGCTGGATCTAAAATTTGCCAAATGTGTTATCGATTTGTTCCTTTTCATTGTTTGCTTTTCGATTACATATTAATACGACATTGTATGCTTCTGTAGGCACAACTGAGGGAGGTGACCCTCCAAGAAGAAAATGTTGCGTATGAAAAGGCTATATCAAATTGCGAAAAGAAAATTCAGGAAAAGTTGCAGGAGAGCAGCCTACTTCAGAGTAAATTAGAGGTTGGGACTTATAAACTTTAAATTATAGTTCTTATTCTTATGGAGTAACATATCACTTATCAAGATTAAAACTTTATATGCGTAACAGTTCTTCAAGTAGCAACGGTAAGATAATTAACTAGAGTATGTTCCTCTAATGTGTTTAGTGTTCCTTGCCTCTATTCCTCCAAGTGTTTGCTTGTTGGCCAGACTATCAATTGTCTTTTTTATCTTTTATATTGCATTCTTTAATTGATTCTTAAGAGAATAGACAAAGTTGAGTCAGGAAGCAAGACGGGTGGAGCCATCCATTTTGGAAACCCTTACATGTATCAACTGCAGATACAAGTCATTAGTTTTGCTTGACTTACTATTATTTCAGAGTGGAAAAGCCTAGTTTTTCTGTTTGAAGTGCATATTAATATGATTGTACTATTACTTCGACCTAGTTTTTCCTTATTATTAATTCAACATTGTATGATTTGTTCCTTTTCATTGTATGCTCTTCATTGACTACTATATTTTGAAAATTAGGATTTTGTGGTATGTTCTATGTGATAAGTATATTTTGATGAACTTTACAAAATCTAAACTGATAAATTGTAGACTAATTCTGTGGTGTTTCAACTCCAGCATGGATAATTCTAAGTTCTAAGTTCTAAGACTGAAATGAGTTCTTTGTGTAGACCAATGCACCAGTAGACATTGGCATTAATACAATCCACTCCATCACCATATGCCCACCCATAATTGCCACCAAGGGCAGTGGGTCAAGCAAGTTGGAAGCCTAAAGCAATTGGGAAAAGCTTTCTTACTATGAAGTGCAAGGCATTTGGAATATGCAGGAAGTTTGCCGTCAACCTGCAAAATTAATTATGGGAACCGAGAGAAGTTAGCCTATTTTTCTCGGTTAGCTGTTGCAGTTAAAAGTATTTCTACTGTTTTCCAATTAGTTTCTTCTGTGATCTATTTCATGCTCAATATAGCAAGTCATCTGGATCCATCTCCCAAATCTGCATTGTGAGTAGAATAATTTGTGGAATAATGTTTGCTTAATAACTATGAATATAGCTAATGCTTTTGTATTACTAAAGCATGTTTGTAGAACCATCTTATGCGGAGATTACAATCATTAGTTACTTTCAAGTTTCTCCATTTTCTCATCAACATATGTGCATGTGTCCAATTCCTGAACATCCATATTATTTTAATGGTACTTTCTAGACAGTGTCACGTCATAATGCTAAAATTGCTCTTTTGCTTTGACTAATTATTTATAACAGGAAATGGACCTAGAAGAGCAGAATTTGAAAGCTGAGCTGGAAAAAGAACTAGTTGCAAAGGAAACTAGTGCAGATGAAACTTCATCAACTGATTCCATTAGGGCAGAAAATTCTCAATTTGAGATGGAATCATTAAAAGGTTTCAAGCTAGAGGATTTAGAGGAGAAGAAACTAGAATTGGTCAGTTCCAACATTATTATGCTTTAATCAATTTTAACTGACATGGTCATGGTCATAAGATGATTGTTGTTATTCTTTTGTTTGCTAGTGTCCAATGGAAGAGACGATACAGAGATTGGAGAGCGAGTGGTCATCAGTTCAACAAGAGTCCTTCAAGAAGCCTACTTCAGGTACTTTCAGTCACTGGTTTCCTCCACAATGTTCTGTGATGTTTACTTTTTTTTTTTAACCCTTAGTGACATGCACAATAGCACATTTTTGTAAAGCACCGTCAACAATATATATGATGGAACAGTGTGTTGAGATAATTTGCCATCATCAGAGAAAATTACCTTGAAGTATGTAATTTCTTGCTTAGGAAAAGACATTTTTAGGCTGATGTGGAATATCCTATTTGTAGTTATTAGTTGAGCTGATCTAGGGAGTAGGATAAGATAGCTGCAATAAGATGTTTTTAAGGGACAGATACATGCACAAGACAAATTTCAGATGATATTCTACGCATTAGCAACCATTGGTTTTCTGCTCTGGTCGCATTATCCAGGATCAATGGTTTCTTATTGTACCAACTAAAATTTAGATATTTCTTTCACATGGTTGGTTGTTTAAGGCTCTTCTGTCTTTATATATCTTTTTCATATTCTCTCCATGTGCATCACAGGGTTATCTATTTCATGCTTCTGTGAAGTTGAGTATGAAACACAACTAGCTCATATGATATTCAACCAAATCCGATGTTTTTATAAATGATTACTATTCTGATTTGGTTTTTAACAGCAATAGTCTAGTATGGAGTTTCCCCAGTGGCAGCATGGAGCTCCAATCACGACATCAAGATGAAAATGGCTTATAAAAAGAGTTATTTTTGCAAGGCAAGGAAGAGAAATGAGGGAAAGGATGTTTTGAATTAACACGAAAAGAAGAACAATGAACATAATACAGAACCTCCTTAAATACAGTCTTCCAGTAAACAAATTGGTTAGAGGTTTGTCTAGCCAATCACAACTGGGAGTGCTTGGTTGATATAGTGTTAGGACTTTAGCTAGGAGAGTCCTAATTGAGAGGGACATTCTGTTAGGACTCTAGCTAGGAGAGTCCTAATTGAGAGTGACATTTATGTAAGAGGTTTTTTCTTAGAGAAGAATTAGGAGTTGTAAGTGAATAGGAGTCTTGAGTAGGAGTCCTATTAGGAGTTGGTTAGAAGTAAGAGTTTTAAGTAGGAGTCCTATTAGGAGTTAGGGTTTAGAAGCCCTATAAATAGCCATGTATTCCTCCTCTTTTCATAAGGAATAGATGAATCTTTTCTACAGCCTTTAAGCAGTAACTTGGAGGGAGGAA